AATAACTTTATTAACGATTAGGGCTGGCTTTAAGTATTTTTTTTTTAATTTATTTATTTAATAGTTTTAGTTTACTTAGAGGGTGGGTTCACTTTCAGTTTTTCGTTAAGAATAGAAAAATTTCAGGCACCAAAAATTAATAAATAGAAATGTGTCTATGTAAAGTGAATATAAATATGCGTACGTATAACTGAGGTGGCCAAAATACACGCGCCAAATTATTTTCAAGTTCGTTTTTTAAAAGATGTTTACGCGCTCCACTCACAGTCAGCGAGTTCGGTTTCCATCACCGAACATGCTCGCCCTTTCGTCCGTAAGGGCGGTATAAAGTCATGATCAATCCCACTATTCGTTGTTAAAGAGTAGTCCAAGAGTTGGCAGCGAGCGGTGTTGACTAGCTGCCTTTCCTATAGTCTAACACTTCAAAATTAGGGGCGGCTAGCGCAGATTCCTCGAGTAGCTTTGCGCAAAATTCTACAAACAAACAAAATTGTTTTTAGAAACTTGCAAGAATAACGCAGAAATTTTATCCTATATTTCTTTATGTCGAGTTTAATATTACAGTTGTTAATTATACAACGTTTTGAAAAGTAACTATATACATATTTATTTAATTTAAGAAGGAGTAAGTGGGAGCTAGATGCCCACATTAGTACTTGTTTGTTTAATGTTAGGCACAAAACTATACAATGAATTATCAGTGCTGTGCCCACTGTGAGTGTCGAAATCTGGTTCTCAGAGTTATAAGCATTTATACTTGATGCCGAGCCACTAGAGGTACCTATAAAAGTTGAAAAAAAATAATATTTTACAAACCTAATCAGTTGGTAACCAACTTGCATTTCTTCTGGCACAAACTGTTCACAAATATAGCTTCACTGAATAGCTGCAAAAAAGTTATTTTAAAAAGGAGGAAGTATTAAATTACCTTAGAGAGGTGCAATTAAAAGCAATGAATGCTAGTCATTTAGGACCTGTAGCGTATTTTATGATTTTACGAATTATTTCTCTTTTCTGACATAGCCATGAAAGAAAAAATTAAAAGAGCATATATGAAATTAACAAACAATTACCCTCCACTCATTTTGTTTCTGCGTTAAAATAAACATTTTACTGTGCAAATTTAAGCCATTATGAAAAATTATAATAATAATAACATATACGCAAATAGTTTGATTTTTAACATACCTACGATCACTTTTTAAAATGTATACTATTCTAAACTTTAAAAATCTGTCCACCTCATTTGTTATTTCATTTTTAGTTCCGTGAGTGGTTTTGTTATTGTTGTTTTTTCTTTTTTTCCATTTAATTCTATTGGTAATATACATCATAAACCACAGAGGACGCTAGTAAAAATAGTGTTTACATATACAGGAAAATAAGTTACTAATGCAAACAATGTAAAATAAAATCAGTTTCGCCTCGAAGGATCAGAAACGTCCTATCGAAAATTAACTTAGTAAGTCTTTCTCTCATAAAATGTCTACAAGGATAACGACCGAGTTCCTAACAGTTGACGAATGTGAGTTTTTCAGCTTGAAGTACCAGCTGGCATATCTATTACTATTATGTTATTTGACGTAATGCACTACTTAAGTACTTTGAAGTTACAAATTACACTAAAAATAAAATTATAATGATTAGAACTGATGGTTCAAGTCTCGATAAAGAATCAATTACTATAAGTATAATTAACATTTATTACAGCAATAATAGTTTTAAGTGCCAGTACTCCATTCAACTTCAAGCATCTCACCTGTATTCACTAATTAATTTAATATATTCGATGACGAAAAATCCACTTTGAGACTAATAATGGTCGGAGACGGCTTGAATGGGTAATGAAGAAAACTTTAATATAAGTTTAACATAACAGCAAATGTACAAAGTTTCGACAAGGTTTGTCATCATCAGGTCGAAACGTTGTACATTTGCTGTTATATTAAACTGATATTAAAGTTTTTCTTCATTACCCATTCAAGCCGTCTCCAACCATTATTAATTTAATATATTATTTTACACGTAACTTTCCGAAACAATAAGACTAAGAGGGCATGCCATACAAGTATGAATATAGTGTTATAAGAAGAAACTGAAGCATTTGTTGATGGAATACAGTAATAAAATGTCTCACACCAGTCCACAGTTAGGTGCTTTATATAATTGTATGCTTTTTCTTGATTTAAACAGCCTTGTGTTGAAGACCTAGCAAAACAATTAAACTTTAATATATCTACCTCATGCATGTAAGGAAATTTGCAAAGTTTAGCACTTAATTAGTTAGCAACACCTTTAAATAGTTTCACTTCAACATTCCTTACTAAACTGGGTGATCCCTCTCAGTTATAAATTTATTTATTTTTGCAGCTAATATTATTATATGTTTTACACTATTTCATTCAAACATCTTGCACATAATTCATTATTATTTATTATAATAAATGCAATTTGTAAACATATGACAGAGTAAAATGCAGAGAAATATGGCATACTTAGTAATAATGCAGTTGAAAAAATTTGTACTTTTTGTTCCTAAAAGATCAGGAAAACAGCACATTTATGATTTTTGTGTAATAAGCATTTTTTCCCATCTTGCATTATTACTTAACTTTTTTATCATTGGAACTTTTATAAGTCACCTGAGTTGATGTACCAATAACATATAAACTCAGAGTCAGAGAATTTGCTAATGGTAAATTTTAAGAATCTTCTTAGACTATAGTTTGTGGAGGCAGTAAATTTAAGTGAGTTTAAAAGAAAGCTTAATAACTTTATTAATGATTAGGGCTGGCTTTAAGATTTTTTTTTTAATTTATTTATTTAATAGTTTTAGTTTACTTAGAGGGTGGGACAGCCGAGAGGGTTAGATAGGTCCCTTGTTTTCCCAAAACATTATGTTATGTTATAGTGCACGATGATCTAATGAACATCAAAACTTTTTATTTAGGTCACATGATAATATAAACCAATTATATGTTAGTATCCTCTTTTCATATGACAGACTTTCAAACTGAATTCTTTTGGGATTAACAGATGAATCACAGACCTTTTAAGAAATGATTCTTTTAATTTGCTGAGAAATTATAACACAAGTTGAGTAGTAGCAGGTGTCTAAATTCAACACAAGATGTTACACTTGTTTGTTGTTATGAAATCTAGAAAGTTGTTTGATGCAATAAATTAGACACACTTCTTTTATAAACAAATATTACTTAAAATTTATTTCACTCAAAAATCAAATACAAACACTGTTAAGATTAAGTTCCATAACTTTGTTTGTACTAATATGATAATATTTGAATTCCTTCACTATTAGTTCTGTTAATTAGTTCTTACATGAAATTATAACTGAATTTTACCTTTGACTTGCTTGTAAAATTAAACTTCTACTTGCCAGTTAACATTCATGCTATTCCTCTGTTAAATGAAAGTGATACCTAGCAGCAAAATATGACAGCCAACTTGTATAATTAAAAATGTGATGAATGTTTCATTAGTTAACACCCTTTAAAACTGAAGGTTTTGGGGTAGGCCTTCCTAGCACAGAAATATAAAAATAGTACATCTTGTTAGCTTTGGAAATATATTTTTCTAATATTAATCTCTCCATCTGTTTATACATATTAACTGTAGACTTGTAATAATTTTATGATCTAGATATCTTTCTCTACCTATTTAGATGAAACTTACTGCTCATTAGAAAAGGTAACAAAGGCAAAATTAAACAGATTTTAGGGGTATGGCCTGAAGCATGTACTTCCAGGCTAAATAAATTTTATCTGAACTTATGAGGACCTTCTATGGTAAGCTGTGTAAATCTTAAGCCAAGAAGGGCTAAGATAGTGAGTCAGTCATTGAAATAGAAGTAATAATTATTTGTGGACTTTATAATTTCAATATTTATCAACAGGTGAGTGTTATACTCTCTAGTATTACTAGTAAAATTCTATAGTAATGATAATTGTTAGAAAAGTACAATAAATGGGACACTAAGGTATTAGACTTGTACCCCTATCATTGTATTTATTGTAATTAATCTTATTTTTTATACCAGGGTTTGATTTTGGGTCATAATGCTACATTTCACTAATAAGCTCACAGTGGATGACATGTGAATTAAGTTACATAAACTTTGTATTTGCCAGTAGTTTCTAAAGTCTGCCTGTCTCATGTGTATAGAATTTTTTTTCATTTTTATATTAACAGATGTACTGTATTTAAATCAGTAAATAAATAGATCTTGTTAACAAAACTTTCATCATTCCATAAATAAATAACTTTGTAGTATTTCTTTGTAATTTTTGTGGCATGAATCAGTGTTGAATTAATTTTCAGGGACTGAACGTTTCAGTAAGTATCCTTTACACAGAGCAGCAGAATTTGGTAATCTTAAAGCTGTAAGATCACTTCTACAGGCTGGACATTCCCCAAATGAGTCAAATTATGACTGTCTGACACCCCTTCATGAAGCTTGTGTCAGAGGACATGTGGAGTGTGCAAGTCTTTTAATTGAATATGGAGCAAAGGCAAGTCCTACATATTCAGCTTTGTTAACTTGTTTTATATAATTGATTATTTAAAGTCTGGCAAGTCCTACATATTCAGCTTTGTTAACTTGTTTTATATAATTGATTATTTAAAGTCTGGCAAGTCCTACATATTCAGCTTTGTTTACATGTTTTATATAATTGATTATTTAAAGTCTGGCAAGTCCTACATATTCAGCTGTGTTTACTTGTTTTATATAATTATTATTTAAAGTCTGGCAAGTCCTACATATTCAGCTTTGTTTGTGTTTGTAGTGAGGCATTTTGAATGTTTTAATCTGTATGACAGGATGTGTTTCTAGTGAAGCAGTTTGACTGTTTTAATCCATATTACAGGATATATTTCTAGTGAGGCAGTTTGATTGTTCTAATATCTGTGACAGATATGTTTTTGTTGAGGCAGTTTGATTCTTGCATTAGTACTTACATTGATAACAGTGAGATGTACTTTGTGATTTATCATTTTAAAGTTGTTTAGAATTTCCAAGAGTTTCAGAGTTGGTCACTGACAAAATGAGATATTGTCTACAGTTCTAGTATTCCATGAAATCATGAATAAAATTCAATTAACAAAACAGACTCAAAAATTAATCCCTGAGAAACATGACAATTAGATTAATAAAACTAAAAACAGTAACTACTCAGACTTATTTTAGCTCACGATTATTTATTGATTTAGTGCTGCTTAGATGATTTTTTTACCATTAATTTTCTTCCACTTATACTCTTAAGTTTCATCAGAATCATCTACAATAGAACCATGCATATGTGTGGAGGGTATTTGTGTTATTTTTATTAATTTTTATAGTTTTTCACACACTGTTGATAAACTACAGTAGCTAAAGATGGCATAGGATATATATATATATATATTGTTAATAATAGTCTTCAAGTTGTTTTGGTGACATCTCTTGTCAAATGGAGATAAATAATTGAAATATGCTTAACTTGTTATCTTTTATTATAGATTATTTATTTTTTATATCTTTATTAGGTAAATGCACCTTGTATAGAGGGCAGCACTCCTCTCTGTGATGCATGTGCTGCTGGAAGTGCTGAATCTGTACGTCTCTTGATGAAGCATGGAGCAGCTGTCAATCCACCGTTGGTTTTAACAACTCCTCTCCATGAAGCAGCACTTCGGGGTAAAAGAATGTTCTCTAAATGTTTATATCATGCTGCTTTAATAAGATGATTTGTTTATGTAATGATGTTCATGCTGCTTTAGTAAGATGATTTGTTTATATAATGATGTTCATGCTGCTTTAATAAGATGATTTGTTTATATAATGATGTTCATGCTGCTTTAGTAAGATGATTTGTTTATATAACGATGTTCATGCTGCTTTAGTAAGATGATTTGAATATACAAGTTTATGTGGACTCATTATTAAGGACTTGCCTGCATTTTAGAAGTTTGGAGACAGCTTGACTGGGTAATTAAGAAAACTTTATTATAAATGTATGATGTTTGAACAAGATTATTTCATACGTGTCATAATCTTGTCAAAATGTCAAACATTTATAATAAAGTTTTCTTCATCACCCAGTCAAGCTGTCTCCGAACTTTTATTTATTATAAAGTGGGTCTCTCATCGTCAAATTTGTCAACATATTGTTATAGGTTCAAATAACAACCACTGATGGGATAACAGCTAAAGTATTGCTAACACTGAGGGTATGAGTGCATTCTAATTATTATTAGTTTTTTTATGATTTTGTCAACACCTATTTAGAATGATACACATACCTCTCTGCACAATAAGGAGCTATTATCTTATGCCCATGCCATGAAGATTTTTTTTTTCACATATCATATGCTTTAAACAAAGCTCCCATCCCTACACATATTAATGTGAACTGCACTAGTCTATGTTGTAATTATCATTAGATAATATCCCTCCACCAATAGGATGGCAACACATTTTTCATGCACAATAATACCCATGAGCTAGCATTGGAACAAAAGTTCATTCCTTCCACATCACTGTGTTTGTTCAAACAAAATTTATTCCTCACAATTTGCAGACTTTTTACTAGGAGTGCATATTTCATAATAGTAGTCCATACGATACCTATCTAGATAGAGAAATCTTACCAACGGTATGTTACAAAGTTTTACAGTCTTGTCTGTAATTTATTATCTATATTACTAACATTGTCTTGTTTAAGTTCTTCACACTTTACAGTGCTTTTTCAAATTCTCAGGTTTGATGAACTAAAAGGTAGCTAGCAAGATGTAGTACTCAATATTCATCTTCCTTTATTTAATCATTAATATTTCACAGAAATACTTTATTAGAAATTCAGATTTTTTCTGTATAAAAGACGTAATGTTTACTGAAAGCTTGCCAAATTTCATTAATATACATAAATTGTCTCCTACCTGATGATGTATCGATACACTCGTATCACGGCTTGACGATACTATACTCATTGTATTACTACAATCGTATCACGGCTTGACGATACTATACTCGTTGTATCAATACAATCGTATCACGGCTTGACGATACTATACTCGTTGTATCGATACAATCGTATCACGGCTTGACGATACTATACTCGTTGTATCGATACAATCGTATCACGGCTTGACGATACTATACTCATTGTATCGCTACAATCGTATCACGGCTTGACGATACTATACTCGTTGTATCGATACACTCGTATCACGGCTTGACGATACTATACTCATTGTATCGCTACAATCATATCACGGCTTGACGATACTATACTCATTGTATCGCTACAATCGTATCACGGCTTGACGATACTATACTCGTTGCATTGATACAATCGTATCACGGCTTGACGATACTATACTCGTTGTATCGATACAATCGTATCACGGCTTGACGATACTATACTCATTGTATCGCTACAATCGTATCACGGCTTGACGATACTATACTCGTTGTATCGATACAATCGTATCACGGCTTGACGATACTATACTCATTGTATCGATACAATAGTATCACGGCTTGACGATACTCGTATGGTATTGCCACACCTTTACTTTTTATAATAATTATTTTAAGTTTTCATTACTGTAATGTAATTTTTATAGAAACAATGATCCCATATTTTAAACATTTGAGTTAGAACTTTGATTCAAATTATCTTCAATTTGACTTTTCCTTTTAATCAATGTTATAATTTAGGAACACATGTTCCAATGTATGGGTTTTATAGTTTCACTAGCTGGAGTACCCATCTGTTGGACAGGTGAAATAAAAACTTGTTTCTAACAAAGGATATGAAATTATGCTTCTACTTTTTTAACATAATAAACATTAAAAGTGCAATAAAAATACATAAAGGTACCAATGCTGAAAAGAAAGAGATACTGTTTCAAGAATTCTAACAGTAATAGTTACATATTTCATTCTAATGCTGAGGAGGATATACAACATTGATAGTTTATCCAAAATTAGATATGAAGTTAGAGGGGTCCCACCCCCATGACCTTCCTAATCTCACCCTGTATAACTGTGTCGAGTTTGGTGCTGACTGATCAAGAAATGTGGAAACATGTAAGGAACAGATACACACACATATTGGCATTTATTTATATAGATTATCTGCTCTTCAGTGTCTTCATTATGCTAATTACCTAGGCCTATGTACATGGATCATTTGGATTACAAATTAATGTTTCCTCATTTCTAACAGGTCCAGAGGTTTTTACACCAATCACACTCTTCCTCTTCACTTCCAGTTTATTTCTTCTGTTGCATCAAGAATGATCCTTTATTCCAATGCTTATGCTCATGGGTATCACTGCACATGGAGGATGTGTCACCCTCCTATTGGTGGAGGGCTGTAATCTAATTATGATTACATCATAGGCTGGTACAGTACATGTTAATGCCTGTAGGGGTGGGAGATTTATACAAGGCTTGTGGCATGCACAAAAATCTTCACCACATTGGTAGGAGATAATAGCTTTGTTGAGGTGAGTATCTATATGAAATATATTTCAGGTAAGGAAAATGTTAACATTAGTAATATTAGTTAGTGTGTTAATTTTCATCATAACCTACTCGTGTAACATAACACTTGGTGAGTCTTCAATACTCTTATCATAACTTACTCGTGTAACATAACACTTGGTAAGTCTTCAATATTCTTGTCATAACATACTCATGTAACATAACACTTGGTAAGTCTTCAATACTCTTGTCATAACTTACTCGTGTAACATAACACTTGGTAAGTCTTCAATACTCTCTTATCATAACTTACTCGTGTAACTTAACACTTGGTAAGTCTTCAATACTCTTGTCATAACTTACTCGTGGAACATAACACTTGGTAAGTCTTCAATACTCTCTTATCATAACTTACTCGTGTAACATAACACTTGGTAAGTCTTCAATACTCTTGTCATAACTTACTCGTGGAACATAACACTTGGTAAGTCTTCAATACTCTTGTCATAACTTACT